GTTTTTGCAGCAGTGTATGATTGTATCATAGTTTACAACCAGACAGCAGACAATTCACAACCAACATGGAGAATGTTGAACGGGGTAAGTTAAGACCTGGATCATCACACACCAGTATACAAAAAGATATACATAGGCCTAAATGTCCACAGATACGTTTATATAGGTTTATTTCATTTGTTGCAGGCAGTGATGTATTCAACAAATGATAACAACTAATAACAGACACAGTTTTAAAGCATCGCAAGCTACAAATGAAGAGCACAAAGAACTGAAATCAATGTATAGGCTACAACTAGCTGAAGTTTGCTGTGCTTTATCCTAACATTACACAAAGAATACCTGCAACCATTCAGTCAGGGACGACTGCACAAAACGTGCACTGTAAACTAATAAAAACATTATACTGTTAGGAAATGATAAACAAATGTAGTTTGTGCAATACTGTAAATATATTTACCTTTTTAAAAATATATATATATCCCATTAAACCTGCTGAGATACAAGGAGCCTGAACTGAAATTCTCAGTTCCACCTGGTTCCACGCGCATGTCGGGGAAACTCATGAATATTCATGTATGAAATGTATGCCCACTGAAACAGAACATCTCGGAAACCGAAAATCTCGTAACACCGGCCCACCGGGAATCCTCCCGGTGCTCCCGATAAGCCAATCCGGGCCTGCTCAGTTGTGTATAATACGTACATGCTCCATCTCTCTATCCACCAAGCGGCCCTTGGCCCTGATCAGGCCCTGATATGCAAAGCAACCATTAATCGAGTCATTACACTTCAAACCACTAGGTGGCAGAACGTTCATTTTCTGAACGCAACTGAACTAGACACGCTACTTCCGTAATAACAATACAGCGCTTCCGGTCGTGCAGAGCTCGGCGTGGAACGCATGTGACTATTTCTATATCTCACTTATAATGCCTGATTTAATTATAGACTTTTTTTTGAATAAGCATTATTTGGTAAGTTGTGATCTATTAACTCGCGTGATGTAGTCCGTTTAATAACTACGCGCATGCCTATAAGTATCCGTTTTATCTTCATACAGCTTTTATGTTTTAATTTTCTTGTGTGTCTTGTGTGTGTGGATGCAACGGATATCGTTACAGAATGAATTTTGAAGTAGACTTAGTTGAGGTGTCGTTGGTGTCGTTGATTTTAACGTCGTTTTGTTTTCAGTTCGCAGATTAAAACTATTTGTGATAAATAATGGAAATTGAGGACAGAGATTTCCTCAATACACCTCCAAAGAAAACTGTGCGTTTTGGAGGCACAGTTTCCAATACATTAGCTAAACTACAAAAGGTGAGTTGGGTCAGATTGTAAGTACAGTATAAAGCTAATGAATGCCACTGTCTGTAAAACATGTCCTTACGTCTCTGATGTGACGTCTACAGGGCGACACAAGTGATTATGAATTGATAAAACATCAACTCTCAGATCCTGATATTAAGGCAAGTATTGTTTTTAATCTTGATTTCAAGGTTATTGTTGTTGTCAAGACCTGTAAAAAATCATGGAACAAAAAACCTTAGATGTTATGGATACTATAAAGTGAATAAAGTCTTTCATTGGCTAGATCAGGGCTGTCCAAACTCGGTCCTGGAGGGCCGGTGTCCTGCAGAGTTTAGCTCCAACTTGCCTCAACACACCTGACTAGAAGTTTCTATGCCTAGTAAGAGCTTGATTAGCTGCTTCAGGTGTTTACGCGCACGATGCAATGCAATGCGTAAAAAGACAGTATAAGACATTATAATCCATAATTATGTCCCCACTGGATGCAACGAATGCCTCGTTTATAATGGGTTTTCATGTTTTTGAATCATCGCTCCGGCCTGACAGGGCATCATCACAATATGGTAAGGGGCGTAACATTTCCGTCACACGGCCGAATACCTCAAGCGTGTGACGGAAATGTTACGCCTTTTACAGGTTCAGGAAACTTTCCTCTGTAAAATGCGCTGCACACACTTGAATATTTGGGTTGAACTGTTCTGGAATAGTGTTGTAAATAAAACTTATCCACTGATTTCTAGTTGTGTCCTCTTTTGGAAGGCAAAAACGAAGTAGTTTGGCTTTCGCAACGAAACACACAGCGTCTCCACGACGGCGGCAGCAAACAATAATACAGAGCGAATCAAAGTGACGCCGCCTTTCTTTGTGTGAACATTTGGGCAGTGTTATGCAAATCTTCCTACACAGTGACGTAGACATGTGGGGGTGTGTTAGAACGAGGCATTTTAGGAAGGAGTGGCTGAGCGTTCACTTTTATAAAGAATATCTCTTTGGATTAGAGACTTTAGTCTTTGCAACTTTACAGATCTGCTTTATGCACCAAGAGCTAAAGCAAAGCTGTAGTATTGTTGTTGCCGCCGCCATGTCGTGAAGACGCTGTGTGTTTCGTT